GTGTTACTACTATCTTTTGTTTGATTATTTCATTCCTCAAGCGGTCTTTTCTGGTATGTCAACATATCTAACGCAACATAAGCATTATGTCGTGCCCCTCTTTTGAATGTGACATTGTTTCACCGTCCAATCTTCTACGGCATACATGAATGCAGTCCTAATTGATGCACTATTAAAAGTACTTTCATAAATGTATAAAATTTATAAAAATCATAATATTATACTAACACAGGGACAAAATATATAATAACTATAAAAGATGACAAAGTTTTAAGAAAGAGAGATAGTATATGTATGATATAACCAGTCTCTTGATGGATAGTAAATAGATGTGCTTTCCTATGTCTACAATGTTTAATGTTTATTAATTAATTAAGGTAGACGTTTATATGCATTTTAGTGAATTGTTATATGGAAAATAGTTGGGGCACTAGAAGCGATCGATAGCTCCTCGCTCAAAATCCTCAGTTGCACAAGTGGAGGCTTTCTCCACAGGCATTATTGGGGCAGCTCTTCCAAAATTGTTAGAATCAATCTTCTAAAATGTGTCACGCGTTAATCTGGCGTCTGCCTAACACCTACCATTTAGGTGGAGAGTAATCGGAAATATGCAAATTGTATTTCATGAACATTTTTACATAAATATGACAAGTGATAATATGTTTGTGTGTGTCTATACACACATTGTCATGCACGAATGATAGAATCATCACATTCAATAATATATTATAACTAATTAATTAATTTCATTAGAGTCTGGTGCTTCTCAAGTTGTTTGTGTTATCCTAAATGGTGGTGATCTTGCTCAATTTGGGTTGATTACAGATGATGTTAGAGATTTAATGAAAAATTTCCATAACATTTCTATTGCTTCTATTTAGAGATATGTGAATCGTGTTGCTCATAAACTTGCTCAAGCAACAATTTTTTTTGTATGACAGTCATGTGTGGATCACAAATCCCCCTAATTGTATCGTGCATCCTTTGTGCATGATACGATTATACTCCGTAATAAACAAGTCAATTCTTGCGTGCAAAAATTTGTATCGAAAATATACTCTTGTACAAATTTGTCACCCAATAACATCTTAATTATACTCTATCATTTCATTTTTAATATTTCCCTTTATCCTCTTTGTTTTTCTTCTCCTTTATGCTCGTCTTCCTCTTCCAATATTCCCTTTTTTCATCTTTATTCCGTCTTCATCAATTCATATCTTGTGCAATCTTTCAACTTCCATCTCCCCCACTTTTTTCATCTCCCCCAATTTACCATCATCCTTCAAGATATGAAAAGCAATCATAGATAGAGCTTGTAATGAAACAATGACTGGGAAATGACAGAGTGCGTATATGGTACATCCGGCTGTACGGTGAGCACCGTACAGCCGTGTAGCACTTGAGATTTAATATAAACGGATTAATAGTACTACTCATACCAACAGAGGTGCATCTCCTTTTAAGGGAGCTCATCGCCCAAGAACTCCAAAGTTAAGCGTGCTTGCACGGGAGTAGTCTTGGGATGGGTGACCCCCTGGGAAGTTTCTCAGGGCGCGCATGAGTGAGGACAAAGTGCGCGGTAAAGGCTCATGGGGGTTTGTGAGGACAGTACTAGTGGTCTGGAGTAACTACATCGGGTCCTGCGGGACCGGGGTGTTACAGGTTGGATCAGAGCAACCCCGCGACAGTGTGATGACCCGTTGGATATCAGGCGGGCACTTAGCGGGGGAAGATTCTGGGATTTGATTGAGATTGGTTCAAGGGCGCAACGAGGACGTTGCGATCCTAAGTGGCGGTGATTGTAACACTTGAGATTTAATATAAACGGATTAATAACACTACTCATACCAACAGAGGTGCATCTCCTTTTAAGCGAGCTCATCACCCAAGAACTCCAAAATTAAGCGTGCTTGCACGGGAGCATTACTACACTTTTAATTAGCATCAGACGTATTGTACTGAGCATGAAGAGTCGAATAATGAGTATTGTGGAATCAACTTCATATATTATAGTTTACTTTCTTTTCTTATTTTTTCTTTTATAAAAACTTTTAAATTATATCTATAATCAACTCCTTGAAACTTGAATATTTCAATCTAATGTAATATGATATTTTTGAAATATACATTGATATGGCATTTTAAAAATGAGTATAATATGACCACTGATTGAGTATAGTAACTTATAAAATGAGCGTTTGTATGAAAATTATAAGTTTTTCTAGTTGAGTGAGTATCAAGACATTTTCATTGAGCATCAAACATCCTGTTTTGAGTATTATTATAAACATGCAATTGAGTATCATGATCTATGCTCCTGTATCTATAATCAACTTCTACGTGAATGTAATGTAATATAATACTTTTCAAATATGCATTGATATAACATTTTAAAATGAACATAACATCAGTACAAAATGATCACACATTAGTTTCCAAATGAGCAATTATATAGAAATCATAATTTTTGTTAGTTGAACATCAAAACATGTTCATTGAGCACCAAACTTTCTCTATTGATCGAGTATCAAAAGCATGCAATTAAGTATCATAATATCTGATCTCTTGTATACAGTCTAACTCTTATGCAAATCTAACATGATACTTTTACGTATGCATTTATATGACATTTTAAAATGAATATAAAATCAGTCCATGATGAACAAACGTAACTTGCAAAATGAGTAACGAAAAATTCAAAAGTTCATTTGAATTCTCTAATGTAATATAGTAATAAAAAATATAGTAATTTTATATTAAAAATAATTTGTAGTCTTTCGTTCTCGAATTAAAGGTATAATCGAGTTCTTTTTATAATGTTTACTCATGCATATTCATTTAACACTATACACATTTAAGTATAACACAAAACTCATGTTAAATTAAAAATAGAAAAATAAAACATTAATATCTAAAATATTTGATAATACATAAATTAAAAAAACTTAAGTTAAAAGTTTGATTGGATAGAGAGAGAAAATAAAATGTGAAATTTAATAAGATTTTGTATAGTTATTTATATTATAATTTTTCATAATATTTGAATATAAAATTAAAAGTGAAATGTTATGAAAGAAAAGAAAACAAAAAGTGAAAGGACAACAAACAAAAAAAAAGGAACAGAAAAGGAAAGAGAACAAAAAAACAATAGGAACTAAAGCCCAATAGTAACGTTCAGCGCAAGAGGCCACGTCCAGCATGCGTGCGGCGAAATAAAATGGACCATAGCAACTCAACCTAAATATTGCCATTAAAGTTGCAATAAATTACAAAAGAACCCAGTTGTACCATGCTCTAGGTACAGCCGGTTATACCGTATATATTGCGGGAAATGACATGAGATGGAAAAGACAATTCATTTAAATCCTTTATGTGCGCTAAAAATATATTTTAAAAATATATTTTTCAAATTAGTAGAATCAACAATCTAGCCACTTCAACCAAACTTCATAAATTTCAGTAGAATTAACGAATTAGTCAGCTTTAGTATTATCACCCGGGCTTTAATAATAATAACAAGAAAAATAACAACAATAATTATACAATCAATGATATTTAGCCACAATTTTTTTTTAACTTTGTTCGAAAAAATGTACGTAATATGTCACTGTCATGAGAGTGAGAATGTTTTAACTTGGATTGCAATCTTAGATCATAAGACCAGTTCAGAGAACAATTTTGTTCACCCTCTCAAAAGAGGGTGAGCATCACCCCCACCCCTATTGGGTTGCCACGTGACATGGCAATGCTTTTAAATTTTGCAATTGTTATAACTTTTGCATTTTTGGTCCAATTTTTTCAAAAAATATATCAATATTTTTAATTTTTTATGATATTTCATATGATACCAATATTTTATATGTAAAATTTAAAAACAATCGACATAAAATAGATGTACGAATAAAAAGATTTTTTTTTTCAATTTTTTATATATGCAATATGGATACCATTGGAAAAATCATAAAAAGTTGTTAAATCTGATATTTTTTTGTTAAAAATTAGATTATATATAAAAAGTTATATTAATTTTACGAAAAAGAATATTTGTAATGCCAAGTGGCATCTATTGGAGAGAGAGGGTGATGTTCACCCTTCATGAAGGGGGTGAACAAAATAGAACTCCCAGTTCAGACCAAATTAGATGAGTCTTCGATAATGAGTAAAAAGTCATATTGGTACGTTGCATGAAAAAATATTATGCAAATAATATTTCTTTTCTGTCTATTGGAATTGTGTAGTGAATAGTCAAATAATATTACTTGAAGGCCTCTTTCTACTTTAGAATGGACAGAAAAGAAATATTGAAAAAATTACTCTTTCTGTCCCGTTAGAAGGTTCCCACTTTTCTTTTTTGGACGTCTCGTTAGAAGGTTCTTATTTCCATTTTAGGAAACAATTAACAATCTTAAGTGACAAATTAGTCATTAAATATTAAAAAATACATTTATAACATCACAGTTATCAATACTAACTACATTATAATATATACCTATTAAAATTATTTCTCAAAATATATCCAAAGTACTTTATTTAATTATAACCTAAATAACTGTGCCAAAGTACCAAACTACCGTGATACGTAGAGCCCGTTTGGTAGCACCAAAATCGGCTGTTTTGGCTGATTCTGCTGAAATTTATGATATTCTGGCTGGAGTGGCTGTTTTGGCTGATTCTGCTGATTTAAGAAAAAAATATTTTAAAAATATATTTTATTAATAAATTAAAGAAAAAATTATATGTAAAAATAGCTAAAATGGTCCTCTACAGTAACTTCAGTCAATACAGTCAGAAAAGTAACTCCAACCTTACTTTTTCGGCTTATTACACAATTCAGCGCGCGAAAGTAAAAGTTACATGTTTGGTGAAAAAGCTGGCTGATAAGCCTGATAAACCGAAAACAGAGTTCTCCAAACGGGCTCGTAGTACTATTGGTAGAGAAATGATTGTGGTACGCTAAGCATTTTTCTGGTATAACTGTAAAAGTATTGGATAAGGTTATTACCGCCTTATTATTATTGTCACTAAAATACTCAGCCAATCACTCAAGAGCAAGAGATTGGATAAGGCGATTTCCCGCCCTACGCACTCCTCAGCTGGTTACCGCACCCAAGCCGGATTCATATGAACACTTTTACAGTATCATCACGTCGGATTGCGCATGAAATCAACCACCCAATTACTGGGAATTCATCCAATTTCATTGTTAATTTTATAGTGTATACATAATAGATGAGTTCAATTTCTTCGTCGACACCTTTGCAACTTCAATTCGTCAGCAGAACTCGTCCCTTTCTGAGTTCACTTCAACCGCCGTCGTCTCTCACCGTTCACCGGCGGAGCCACTCTGTGCTTCGTCGATGCGCGATTGCAGTCAAGATCAGCTCCGAAGATTGTTGTGCTCGCAACGCGCAGGATGCTCTTAGCTCGGAGCTTCTAAGGAAACCGGTGGCTACGTCGGTGGAGTCTGCCGGAGAGGGAGAGTCAACGGAGGATGGGTGTTACGGTGAAAGTGAGGATATTGGCAAAGAGGAGTTGGTTGATTGGGAGAACCAGATTTTGGAGGAAACTGTCCCGCTTGTAGCTGTTGCTCGGATGATTCTTCATTCTGGAAGGTAAAGCTTTCGTTTGCTTCAATTTTAAGAGTATTTTAGCCTCAGAATTGCTAGGCGTTCCAGTATGTCTACACACGTCTGTTCTTTCTATTTGGAAATGAGTTATTTATTGAATTGAATGGTGTTGATGAACCGGTTGAATCACATAAGAAGGGGGTGAATTGTGTGTGCTTAGAACTACGACAGTTTTTCGCCAAGTTCTAGTGCGGGGCAAAGGAAAAACAGAAATTAAAGGACACAAAGATTTAAGGAGGAAAAATCTTTTGGCTCAACAGGGATTAACAAACCTCGACCTTCTCGGATGAATTTGAAACACTCTTCGCTAAAAGCCTTTGAACAAGCTACAAGATAAACTCTCCAAGTTTAACCTTGAGCCACCCCAACTTTAGCATCTCTAGGTAGAGTTCTCACTACCTTACCGTGTGGGTGGACAAAGCTCTCACTTCACACCCCAACCATCGGAGGAAAGCATTCTCAAATGTTCCTCTTAACCCCAATACAATAAAAGAAATTGAATTACAAAGGATAGAACTGCTAATTGAACTGTCGTAGGTACTCGGTCTTCTATGGGTGCTTGTATAACTCTCCTTATTTGAGTATTTTCTTCTCTGTTCAAGCGCACACTTCTTCTTCCTCTTGATCTCGATATATAGGCTGCTAGAGATAGATCCGTTGAGGTTGAGACCTTCCTTCCTTGGATGGCCAAGTCATTAAGTGTGAGATTTGCCTTTTTATCATTTGAAAATCCTTCCTTGTATGAGGATTTGCAATCCTTCTCTCATGGTGCAACAGACTTCTTCGGATCACATTCACACAATTATAGAATTAATACTTGAGCACAAAAGGTGAGCAAATCATGGAATCGTATAGTTAACATAGATAAGCATGCAACGTTCCTTTCACAAATTATCATAATAAAATAAAATCATGCACGATCCTTTCCATAAAGTATTAACCTATAGGACACGTTATTAATGGTTTCACTTCTCGCCCCAACCTTCGCTGCACAATCCTTCACACATTATTGATGGTTTCACTTCTCTGCAGATATGAAGTTGGTGATAGGCTAAGCTTTGAGCATGAAAACATTTTGTTGGAAAGCTTTCTTCCATATCATCCAGAGTATGAAAAGAAAATTGGCTGCGGTGTCAACTATATTACGGTACACAACTCTTCACTTCATTCTTTCTCAATGCATATAAGATATTGCTGCTGGTTTGGCTATTGATTCTTATCTGTTCACCACCTACAATTACAGTCATAAACTTTCTTGTCCATGAATTTTGTTCAATATTTTTGAAAACATGCATGTTTAAGCGAGTTTTCATCATATGCACCTCGTCTTAAACAAGACTGTACAAGTAGTTATAACAAGAAGCAGATGTATGGAGTATTGAGTGAGTAGTTAATTAGTTATTCACTTATTTGAATATCCTTTCTACGTCCCCTTTGAAGATCTCTATATCATAGTTACCCACAGAGTTGTGTGATTTTTTTCACTACACTCTCTCATTATAACTTTTGGATCATTAGCAACTTGAATTGCAAGAATTACAAAAGTCAGCACATGAGCTCTTTTCCCGCTTTTCTTTCACATTGAATGTGCTTGAATTTTGTAGATGGTCTTTATCTAGTTAGTATTTGTGGGTTGTAACCAGAATTCTCAAAGATAAAAACATAGCGTGTAATTAAAAATGAACAAGGACCATTAGAGGCCAAAAGTTGGATTGTCTACAAAGGAAGGAAAGGAAATAATCAAGAACAAAAAAAGACAGAACGTTGTGGGATCTGATTAAAAGAGTTTTTGGATTTATGAATCAGATTCGTGATAGGGTAAGTGATTTGGACCCTTAGTTAAAGAATAAACCTATCCTTTAGAAAGGAGGGTATGCATCCATTTTCTTACCTTCATCATCAACATAAGGCTGGAGCGCAAGGCGCAGGAGTTGTTCTTGATGGGGGAGCTTGTTCTCGAGTCTCTTTGTCACTCTTATATCCCTGGTCTGAAACTACAGTATTCATTTCTTCTAGTGCCTCTTCTCTCTATCAATACGGCATTATAGCATTAATTAATTACCAACATTTGTCCAAAAATGAAAAAGATGTACTAGCAATCTATTTTCTCCCAAATGAATGAATAATTTTTACTTTTATATCTTTTGAGCACGATATTTTTTAATGTGTGCCCAAGCCCCAAGGGTACATGATAAAGAGAATTTAATGTGATTTATGAAGTCGACACAATTATCACTATAATCTATACGATTAACAACACTGTCAAGGATAATTTAAGAAAAAGTACAAACATTGTCCAACTCATTCTGGTTTCATTGCTCCTTATATGTGCCCCATGGGCAAACCTTATACTTCATATAAAACGCTTCTAAACAAAATATGCCAGCAAATATTAATGCATATATATCTGGTCAGGGAGACGCGGAAATAGTACTTCAAGATCCATTACGTGTCCAAGGACTTTTGTTATTTTTTGCGTCTCTTCTGGTGGCACAAATATTTATGGTTCTGCAAAAAAAAGGTTTGAAAAAGTTCAATTGTCCGAATTGAATTTATAGACTTGTAGCATTAACAACCTAAAAGAGCCCATTCAGTGCTATAAACAGTTCCAGAACCTCTAATGAGAGAACATGAAATTGTGTTTGTGTGTATAACTTCCATCTCAAATAGTTTAGTCGTTCTTTGAATCTTTGTATACCTTGTCTAACAAGAAGATCTATGGAGTTTTAACTTTTAATTATAGGTCCAAATCTGAAAAGTGCTACAATTTTATTTGTTCTCATTGACAGATAGGATACCACCCAATTTATGGAAAATCGCGATGTCTATTCTTAGTGCGTGAAGATGGAGAGTATGTTGATTTCTCATACTGGAAGTGCATAAAGGGTTTGATCAGGAAGAAGTATCCACATTATGCTGAAACCTTTATTCTCACACATTTTGATAAGAGTAAGCGTCAGTGAGGGTATATATTTGACTTGTAGCTATCCAACTTTTATCAATTTACAGAAAGAAATTATTGGACCTATTGATTTGAGCAACCAACATTTTAAGGACGATGACGTAAAGTGCTGTATCTAATACCGCTTGTAGTAAAAGTTATTCGTATTTACGCTCTGCAAATATGATAACGTGGTATCTTGAATCTTGAAAGTGATGCTTGGTAAATTGTCAAGTTATGAATTCAGGCAGGTTTTGTCATACTGGTTTTGCCCAAATGAATTTGCAATAAAAGTTTGTACGGTTTAGAGGTGATTACTCATATGGAAAGCAGAGAAAAAAAAAACTTTTCTATTTCATCAATCACCTTGTAAAAATCGTCCCCTGGCTCTGATTAATCTCTGCTTGGACAGTAAAGTATTCTGGATGATAAATAATCTTATCGCCCCTAATGTATTTTACAACATTATTTCATATATACGTAGTATAATATATGACCTAATAACGGAATACATTCCTTGGTCTTTCTTTGGCTACATAAGACTATAAGAGACTCAGAGAGAGTGAGGTTTCCAGTTTCCTGTTTTTTTGGATCTCTTCCATTTTCAAGCAGCTCCACCATAATAAAATGGACTCGATCCGTCTGGACGTGACGGCCAATAAAATTGACTAATACGATAGTATTATACTGTTTTCGCCTATGTAGCACGGAAACTCTCGGGAAAGAGTATGTTTCCCGTTTCGGAAACTCTCGGAAATTCTTTTGAAACTCTCCAAATAAGCATTTTTTGAGCAAAAGTTGATGTTTCCCGTTTCCTATTTCCTCATGATTTTCGCGTTTCCGTGCAACATAGGTTTTCGTTAGTTATTTTGAGTCGACAGGTATTTTGTGCTTGTAATTTAGATTATGCTTAATGTACATCTTTAGTGTTTTTATTTGTAAAGCATAATATCATTTCATATTACTGTATTATTGTTTTTAGAAGGAATGACTCAAATATGAAATAATTACATAAATATGACCAAAATAAAGATGATTTACAAAAATGTGATTAGTTACTAGAGTAGTAATGAAATCATAGTAATTCATGTTCAAGTTTTGAACTTAAGTTACCACAACACTACGTTGTAGTAATGAATAGTCATATTTATGTAAATAAGTTTTATTTTTGTAATATTCTTGTAAAAAAAACCCTCAAATATTACCTATAAAGTTTTAAGAAATAATGGCCTAAATAACACTCCCACTTTTAGTTGACAAAAATATGACCAATTATCAATAAGACAAATAAGTGACCAAAACTCAATTAGAGCTGCCAATTAAACAACATCTTTTCTCTCGTCGTTCGTCATCTCTTCCTTCCCCCTAGATCTAAGCCTCCAAGCCTCCAACGACTGGCAAAGATGGTAGATGAGATCCTCCTCCTCTAGGTTGCTACCTTTGATTTCGTGTCGCCGTTTCTAATTCCACATTTCCACGCCTCCAATTTCACTTCGCCGCCTCCACCTATAGGCCTCCGCCTCCGGTTTCACTTCGCCGCCTCCACCTATAGGTCTCCGCCTCCAATTTCACTTCGCCGCCTCCACCTAGAGGCCGCCATTGCCTCCATATCGTCGTCAGTCGCTGCCTCATCCTCTATGTCGCCACCACGTTGTCTCCTCATCCTCCAGGTCATCGCCTCAGCCTCCGGTTTGTCTCCTCCGCCAGGTCGCCGTTGCTCAAGCCTACCGCATCCACCTCGAGGTCGCCACCGTCTCTTCTTCTTAGGGGGTGTTTTCAGAAGTTGCCCCCACCAGCTTCTAAAAAAACTTATTCTAGGAGTAAATTAGAACACCAAAATCACTTCTGCACTTTTATCCAAACACTTCAACTTCTGCTTCTGCTCCATGAAGGAGCAGAAACAGTTTTAAGAATCAGATCCAAACACCCCCTTATTCATATTATGTCTGATCTGAGTTGAATGGTGATGCCTAATGAATAAGTTGGAGTTGAAGAGGGGAAATGGTGGGCTGGATAGGAGTTTTCTGGTCTAGGATAGATTGGGGTTGGGAGGGGTGGATTGGGGTTTGGGTTCTGTTTGGTCAGATCTAGAGCTAGGGAGGGTGGATAAGGCAGGGGTTTGGGAATGGGGAGACGTAGGGGTAGTGGTGGTGACTGGTGGGTAGGGGTTGCAGAGTAGTCACTGTTACCGATGATAATCGACTGAATGCGATTTTCATGGAGTCACTGTGCTGACTGTGCCGGAGTCACTGTATCAGAGTCGCTGTGATCAGAGTCACTGTTGCCAAAATCATCGTCATCGAAGTCACTTTGGCTAGAATCACCTTGAACCGGAGTCACTGAGATAGTGACTGGCGGCAGTGCCAATGATGGCGGCCATGGAGGTGCAGGTGGCTGCAAAATATGGACTACTAATCAAATATACAAAGTTAAAATAATAAATGTATGATTAAATACAAGGAAAAAATGACTTTTAGTCACTTTTTTGGAAATTTTTTAAACAAGTCACATTTTTTCCTTTTTCATTCATTTAAGTACTACGTAATATTGAAATAAAAAGGCCAAGTTTTAAGAGACAAAAATATGTCCATTTTGGAACTTTACTTTTTTGTTGTTGAGCAGATGCGCCTGCCACCTGAGCAAATCCGTCGGCCACATGAGCAAATCCACCGTCTACCTGCGTAGATCTGACTTTGTTCGCTCTTTGGGGTAGGGTAGGGGTGGATCGGGGGTTGGGCCAGTTAAGTTGGTCGGAACTGGAGTTGAAGTTGGGGAGGGGGAAGGTGACTGAGGGCAGGTCAGGAGGCTGGGATGGGGCCGGAGCTGGGGAGGAGGCTAGGGGCTGTTGGCGGCGGCCGAAATGTTGCAGAGGCAACCAGAGTCGGTGAAAGAGTGGTGGCGGTAATCGAGCGATGCCAGCGGTGGTGTCACTGTGGCGGTGTCACTGTGACCTACGGCTGTGTCACTGTGGTGGTGTCACTATTGTGGTGTCACTGTAGTGGTAGTGGCGACCGGCGGTGGCAGTGACACGAGCAATGGCGGCGGAAGTGAGACAGGCGATCGCGACAGTGACATGAATATTTTACTGTCACTTTATTTAGTTTCTCCCTCCGTCCCTCTAAGATTGTCCCATTTTACCTTTTCGGGAAGTCCCACTAAGATTGTCTCATACCAAATTTGGTAAAGTTTGTGTGGCTCTAAAACATTCTTACTTTATTCTTACTTTATCAATTTAATATCAACCACACAAACCCACTTTTCTTAATAATCATGCCACCTTCTCTTGTCCCAATCTTAGTGGGACGGAGGTAGTACTTTTTTGTTCAAATTTAAAAGTGATCACATTTTTAGAAATCGGCCTGAATTTAGTAATATACAGGGAATAACCCCTGTTTTTACTATTTCTGTTATACAAATTGATTTTTTTAATTAATAAATCAATGTGCCAAACTTGAGTATGAATAGTAATCTTATGAGATCTGAAGGTGGATGCGAGAATGTGTTGAAATTTTGATAGGCATGACTGATAAAATTCAAATAAAACTAATGATAGAAATAAGAGCTACTGTTGAGAGAGCTAGGATTCATGTAAATGAAATATTGCGTAGCTTTCTTAACACCATTACATGCGGGCTACGTACATATATATTATTACAATAAGTGATGTGAATGATAGAAGGAAATAATGCATGGGCCATGCATAGCATGCACCCATGTATACATGCTTAGAAATAGGAAAACAATACACATGGTACGCAAATGATATGACCTGAAATAAATAATCTCAATACTCCCCCTCAAGGTGGCGTGTGAAGGTTGCGAACACCCAACTTGCTTCTGAGAAATTGGAAACGATCACTGCCGAGTGCTTTGGTGAAAATATCAGCAATTTGATGTGTTGTAGAGATACAACATGGTTGGATTTCACCACTAGCCACACGTTCACGAACAAAATAACAGTCCATTTCTACATGCTTGGTACGTTCATGAAAGACGGGGTTAAGTGCAATGTGTCGAGCTGCTTGATTATCACAGAATAGGGAAGTAGGACCATTTTGAGGAATAGTTAGCTCTTGAAGTAACCATCGTAACCATAAAATTTCACTAACTGTGACAGCCATAGCACGATACTCTGCTTCCGCGGAAGAACGTGAGACAACAGACTGTTTCTTCGTCCTCCAAGAGATTGGAGAATTGCCAAGGGTGATAAAATATCCTGTGCTAGATCGGCGCGTGTAAGAGCACCCCGCCCAGTCAGCATCACAATAACCTTTCAAAGAGAAATCGTTATCTGCAGATAAAAAAATTCCTTGTCCTGGAGTTTGTTTTAAGTAGCGAAGGACTCGTGTGGCAGCGTCGAAGTGAGACTGGCGTGGCTGGCTTAGAAATTGACTAAGCTGACTAACAGAGAAGACAATGTCAGGGCGAGTCACGGTAAGGTACAATAAGCGGCCGATCAAGCGGCGATATGAAGAAGCGTCTACAGGAGGGCTATCGTCATCAGGTCGAAGTTTTAAGTTCTGTTCCATGGGAAACTGACTAGGGCGACCAGCAAGGAGACCACTTTCTTCTAGGATGTCAAGTGTATACTTGCGTTGACTCAGTACAAACCCCTCGGGGGAACGAGCGACCTCGATTCCGAGGAAATATTTTAACGTACCCAAGTCTTTGATACTAAATTGGTCGTCCAAGTAGCCCTTAATTTTGGTGATATGAGATGTGTCATTTCCGGCTAGGATAACATCATCTACATAGATGAGAGCAAATGTGCGGTTCTCGCCTTGTTGAAAAATAAACAAGGAATGATCTGCCTGAGATTGACGAAATCCAACTTTCAAAAGTGATTGAGTAAATTTGTGGTACCAATTACGAGAAGCTTGGCGCAGGCCATAGAGCGATTTTTGTAATTTACAAACACGAGTGTCGCCATCTTTGCTAAATCCTTGGGGAACACGCATGTAAACATCTTCTGAAAGGTCTCCGTGGAGAAAGGCATTATTGACATCCAATTGATGTACTACCCAATTTCGTTTGGCAGCCACGGCCAACAGACATCGTACTGTGACAAGTTTTGCAACTGGAGCAAAGGTCTCATGGAAATCTATTCCTTCGACTTGTGTGAAGCCTTTGGCAACCAATCTTGCCTTGTAGCGTTCCACATCACCGTTAGGTTTATATTTTATTTTATAAACCCATTTAGAGTCAACTGCTTTCTTTCCTGGTGGTAGCTGTACCAAAGTCCATGTACCATTTTCTTCTAAAGCACGAATCTCCCGTTGCATAGCCTCCCGCCACATTGGAATTAAAA